GGCGGATCTCTGTGAGTTCGAGGCCAGCCTGGTCTACAAGAGCTAGTTCCAGGACAGACTCCAAAGCTACAGAGAAACCCTGTCTCAAAAAACCAAAAGAAAGAAAGAAAGAAAGAAAGAAAGAAAGAAAAAGGTGCCCACTGCCAGCCTAGCAACCTGAGTTCAATCCCTAGAGCCTACGTGGTAGGAGAGAACTCACACAAACTCTTCTGACCTCCACATGCACTCCATGCCACACACCCACCTCTGTACACTTACATCATACACATGCATGATAAACCAGTAAATTATTTTTGAATTTTTAAAGTAAAATAAATTAAAGTAAAATGCACTTCCAAACTGGTGAGCTAGTAGTATGATAATAATAATATAATATATATTACTATAATAAAAGTATAAGGATAGGGCCAGCAATGCATGGTGGTGCATGTTTGTCATCCCTGCTCTCAGGATGCTGAAGCAGAATTAGGAGTTCTAGGCCAGCTTCTGAAACAGCAAGATCCTGTTTTAGTGGAGGGGGGAACAGGAGGGATATAATAAAGACCTACGTCCATCCATTTGCCTGCAAATTTCAAGATGTCATTATTTTTTACCGCTGAGTCATACTCCATTGTGTAAATGTACCACATTTTCTTTAGCCATTCTTCAGTTGAGGGACATGTAGGTTGTTTCCAGGATCTAGAAAACACCATATTGAGTGAGGTAACCCAGATCCAGAAAAACAAATACGTACTCACGCACAAGTGACTGTTAGACATAAAACAAAGAAGAAACATTCTGCAGTCCACAACCCAAGAGAACCTAGACAACAAAGAGTACCCTAGGAGAGGCATACATGGATCTACATAGGAAAGATAAAAAGACAAGATCTCCCGAGTAAATTGGGAGTGTGGGTGCCACAGGAGACAATAGAAGGGGAGAGAGGAGAAAGGGAAAGGATCGGAGAAAAATGAATAGCACTATAAAATCAAGGGCCTATGACTACTAGCAGATATATTTTGTTAGAAATACGCTATAAACAATCTGGCTGTTGTTTGTTCTGTTTTTGAGACATAGCTTAGTATGGCCCAGATTGGCTTCCAGCTCACTCACTGTATAGGCTGTGATATCCTTGAACTCCTAATGTTCCTGCCATTACCTCCTAGTATTGTGACAACTGGTGTAGGGATCACCCTACTTTAGCCCATTAAGGTTTCAAGTAACTATTAATATGGCTTGATTTACATCTATTTTGCCATATGCCACCTTTTGTTTTATTTGATTTTTTTTTTTTTTTTAAGAATTCTGTTTTAAGCCAAGCAGTGGTGGCACTTGCCTTTACTTTAATCTCAGCACTCAGGAGGCAGAAGCAGGTGGATCTCTGTGAGTTCGGAGCCAGCCTAGTCTACAAAGTGAGTTCCGGAACAGCCAGGGCTACATAGAAAAGCCCTGTGTTGGGCAGAGGAAGTAGAATTCTGTTTTAATTTATTAGTGTTTACTATCTTTTAAGCTGTACCTCGTTCTGTCTTGTTCTCTTGCTCTGGTTCTAGCATGCATCATAAGACACCACAGTTTGCTCCCCCTTCCTTTCCGTGTCACTTTTACCCTTTGCACAGTAACACACACATTTGCTTGGCTGTGACTCCATGCATGTCACCATTTTTGCTTTTAAGCATCAAATGCTTCGTGTAATTTAAGAGAAAGTAGTTTTTATATTTACTGATCATATGCCCCCTTTTTTGGTCCATTTGTATCTTTTGTTTGGTTTGTTTATAATCTTAACCATCTCAGTTTCCCTTGGAGCTTTCCTTCAGCTTCCAAATGAACTTTTCACCCTTTGTAGTGAATATCTGCTCCGCCTTTTAATTTTCATTCCAAGGTAGATGGGTGGATTTCTGCCTGAATAGATAAGGTACAAGGACAGATGGTGTTACCACATTCTGCAGTCCATCTGAAGTGGGAACATTTTAGCACCCTACTAAATCCTACCTGGAAGTGCTGGGATGAGCAGGGAAAGGGGATACTGTGAGCAATGGGGCTTTGTTAATGTAGTCTAGTGTTTCGTGCTGATTATTTGATGAACCTACCCAATCAGGTGGGCTGAAAAACTTTTGTTAAGCTGGGGAGATGGTTCCACCATAATGAGCACCTGTTCATCTTGAGAGGCTCATAGTGGTTCCTCATACCCATATTAGGTGGTTCACAACTGCCTGTAACTTGAGCTTTGGGAGATCTGCACTTCTGGGCTCCACAGGTATCTGCACATTAGTGCTCTTATACACATACAGAAGCAAACATAAATTTAATTTTTTTATTTATTTTAGAGAAGACTGTATATTGTACCTGCTGTCTCCCTTGCCTTCCCCACTGCTTGCATCTTGCTCCTGGTTGAAAGTCTTGTCAAGTAGGTCTTTGCCTCTGCTGTGGCGCTACTAAGAGTCTGGCATTCTGATGGCCTCACTGGCCTCCATGCCAAGTGACTCAGTAATACTTAGTCATTTACATGATATCTCCCTTAGCAATCATATTTTAACGTCTACCTTCCCTTGCTGTTGTTCTTCATTTAGATCAGTGGTTCTCAACCCCTTTGGCAAACCTCTGTCTCCAAAATATTTACACTACGATTCATAACAGTAGCAAAATTACAGTTATGAAGTAGCAGTGAAAATAATTTTATAGTTGGGGTCACCACAACCTGAGGAACTGTATTAAAGGGTCACGGCATTAGAAAGGTTGGGATCACTGATTTATATGGTTATAACATGTTTCATGTAGCACAGATGATGTCTTAGTATGTGTGTCATACAGGGTTTTTTCTTTTCGATCAGATTGCATCTACATCACTGAGTGAAATCCAGCTTAACTGGATTCCTTGCATTTGCCAGTGTGGAGCTTGCACATCAGTTGGGGCAGCTTCTATTTGGGCTGATAATCACTCACCTTGTCATATCCTCTTCCACATTGAAATGCCTCCATCTCAAGTAGTAAAATGGCTTATTTTGGGGATTTGACTCCAGTTAGGTTCGTTTTATGTTGCAAGTAATAGGTATGCTAAGGAAATGTACATTAGCACTCCAAGGCTCATTCCTGATCTTTTTCCCCACCCTCTTGTTGTAGAATATTATTTTAAGGTGTGTTACTTTTGTTTGTGCTCTGGAGAACATTTGTTTAATGATACAAAGATGTGTTTAGTTAAATAAAATTCACCTGCTATCAGGAGGCTGGGTTAGCAACTAACTGACAGGAAGTGGTAAGGAGGAGCCAGGGGGAGATGGGTTTTTAAGGAGCAGGCCAGGAGCCACACAAGGCTTTTTTGGAGAGATGGGAGGAGAGGGGGGTGATCTGCTTACTATTCAGCCTCTCCGAGGAGCAGAATCCCACCTCAGCCTTTGAATCCTGAGTCTTTAGAGGGACAGAAATTTAGATAAATTCCCTTGGTAATTTTAGAAGAGTCGATGGCTGGGGGAGCAGGATTCCCTCAGACTGCGGCTCTTGCTGCCCTATTGCCGCCTATTGATAGCATGAGAGTTACAGTTGCTGATTCAGACAGCAGAGCTTAAAAGGCAGAAATAATTTGAAAAGAGAACATCCTCTGACTCAGATTTCTGTGGAGAGCGAAACCTCTCATCTTTATTTGCATAGATGTATACTAAAATGTGCGGCCAGTGCTACTTCTGACTTATGATCATGTCCAAATGAAGTTGCTGGCGTTTCCTCTCTGAGTAGGGAGTGTCGGGATTTAATTTAGTGTATGCTAAGTAAACACTCTGCCACTGAACTATACCACTAGCACTGTGTAGCCTTGACTGCCTTAAATTGTCCATCCTCCTGCCTCCATCTCCTGAGCACTTTGCTACCGAGTTCCTAAATATCGTGTTAGAGCCTGTGCAAGTGTGGTGAGTATCTCATGCCTTGACGATCCCACTCTCTTTCTCGTTGAAGGACTTGGAGTTGCTGACTGTGGAGAGGGCACACAGTCGGTTGTTGCTGTTCCAGTTGACACACCTGCCCCACAAGTCAACTCAGACACAGCCCCTGCCATCAGGTCACCAGGAACTCTTGTGTGTAGGGGCAGCGGCCCTACCACTAAGACCTTTGTGCTTCGGTCTGTGTTGAAAAAGCCTGGCAGGCTGTTTGCAGAGAACATAAAGGTAAAAGTTGCTCTTCCTAAGGCAAAGGAGTGCCAAGTTCTTTTGTGTCAGACCAATAACTGAAGTTCACTGCTATTGAGTGAAGTGCATTGTTCTCACTTGGTTTTCCTTTTCGTTTTAGCTCACAATACTAGTCTGAGATTGTTCTATTTTAAATTAATATTACGTTGGTAATCAGAATGTAATGTTGATAGACTGGATAAGTATAAAAATTTATCCAAATTATAACTAATTGCATTGCCAAATTAGTTCATGGCGAATGTCTCAGTCTGTAACCTAGGCATGCCAAACATGTGGGCTTACCACCTCTTCAGTTGGCTGTGTTTCTCTGAGCACAGTAACCTAAGAGCAGTAGCATGTACTGAGCAGTTCTGTCAGCGGCCGGGGGGGGGGGGGGGGGGGGGGCATGTATACATGTATACACAACAGCCCCTTCCCTGGTCAGGAGAAAGTACTAACTCGGGATGGTGCTGATTAGGAGTCTTGTTTGGGGCAGAAAACTATTCTTAAAGCAGATACTGATCTTGGTGGTGATAGGACTCAAAACCTCAAACTAGGAAGGGTTCTAGGTGAGGTTGAAATGTAAGTGATGATTAACCAGGACTTTGATCCTGCCTGCAGGCCTGGCTCTCTTCTGCAAGGCTTGTTCTGTCTGTGGATTTATGACATCCCTTCCTTTATAGTGTGCCCTCTATAATCTTTTGGATAAACACAGACAGAAACTTCTTTCTTATTTCATCTTCAAAAATATGGATATTCAAGAAATTACATTATTAAAAGTGCTGTTCCCATGCTTACAACAAAGCTCCCTTTTAATATCATTTACCTCACCTGTCATTTTAGCGCAGGTCTCATGCTCAAACCGTTGTAAAATCTGCCTGAGCTGACAGCTGGTATAATATACCGAAAGTTCCCCCACTCACACCTTTCTTAGCTTGCTAGATCAAAAAGGGATGATTTTTAACACATACTTAGGGATTTCTGTTCTCTAATTTGGGCCTATAATACTGTTTATTAAAACACAGAAGCCAAGGACTGAGATATGACTCAACAGTTAAGAGCACTTCCTCCTCTTACAGAGGACCCAGGTCCAGTTCTTGACACCCATTTGGCAACTGACAACTGCCTAATGCCAGCCCCAGGGGATCCAGTGGCCTCTTCTGGCCTCCACAGACACCTGACATGTGGTACACATATGTACATGTGTGGAAAACACTCATACACTTAAAATAAAAATAAATATTAAAAGATAAGAAAACCTAGATTTTTCTTGGGCATTTTCAGTATGGTGTTTTAAGCCAAAGCAGTTAAGAAAATAAATGTACTCAACAAAACAATTTTCTAGTCTCTTTCTAATGACTTTGTATGTTATGAAAGGAGTAAAACCTTTGATTGGTATTTATTTCGATTAGGAATACAACCTTTGTGATGACGGGGCTCATCTAATCCCAGACCCTTCGAACTGTTGCAAAGAACAAAGAGCAGGTGTGTTATCCATATTTATTTTTAAGCCTAAGGATATCATTTTCCTTCTAGAACTTGATGCAGTTTATTAGATATTTTGACAATCTACTCATGCTTTCCTGCTTCTGAAATTACCTGGGAATGGAGAGCAGTGGGGAGGGAAAAGTGTCTTTTCTGGACTTCATCATTGGTCTTGGGCTGAGGGTGTGGCTCAGTGGAAGATCATCTCCCTGACATGATTGAAGTCCTGCGATCAGGCCTCAGCATCGCTTTTGCCTACCAATTTTTACTTAATGGTACAACTAGTAAAGAACTTCAGAGTTCCAATTTTATCAACACTTTAAGTAATTATATGTAATTTATTTTAAAATCAGTACTATTTTAGGTGAAAGTATGGTTTTCTTCTATTTGTATTTTCTCTATAAATTTTTTTACACAAATAGCAGCTAAATATACCATATTCAAACATTTTAGTGTATGTGTTTTAGATAAGAAAACAACTTAATTTTAATGTATTCTCATTTATTGTCTATAGGTAGGGAAAACTGTAAAACACCAGACTTTGTGAATCTGAAGAAGAGGAAAAGAGTTACTTTTGGAGAGGACTTAAGCCCTGAAGTGTTTGATGAATCTTTACCAGCCAATACTCCATTGTGTAAAGGAGGAACACCTGTCTGTCAAAGGAACATAAATGCTGCCAGTCCCCTGCAGTCTCCTGTTCATGAGCCGTTACTTCAGCCAAATTTTGATGACAATGAGGAGAATCTTGTAAGTGGGGAAAGCATAGAAAAAAGCTTGCTTTTATTTCCATGAGGCCTCACTTTTTTTTTTTTATGTGAAAATTGTGATTTTTTGAAATTGAGGTAGACCAAATGACTTGCCACATTTCAATCTCTCTTGTTTTTTTGTTTTTGTTTTTGTTTTTGTTTTTGTTTTTTTCAAGACTAGGGTTTGTCTGTGTAGCCCTGGCTGTCCTGGAACAGGCTCTGTAGACTAGGCTAATCTGAAACTCACAGAGATCCGCCTGCCTCTGCCTCCCAAGTGCTGGAATTAAAGGCGTGCCCCATCACTGCCTGGCTCAATCTCTTATGTACATTTTTAAAATGACTTTTCCTAATTAAAGACACTACTTTCATGGGACCTAAGTACTATTGATTATAAGATACCTTTTTTGTATCAAGAAAAGATACTCAGATGTTTGAGAGGCATTAAAATACCAAAGAAATAGCCACCTTAGAATTAAAATAATGTATTTTAAAACAGTGATAAACACATTTTAGTAATCTTAGATTATTTCGGTGGCGGGGGGGGGGGGGGGGGGGGGTTGCCAGTGTCAAAACCTAGAGAGTGACATTACTGTATCCTAACAAGTTTTCAAGGACAGCAGGGGTTAACAACTTCATGTTGTCATTTTAGTAGCTCAGATAAATCAGATGCAATCTTTGAAATGCATCAGCCTTCAGTCAAAGAATACATTGTTTCAGTAAACCCATGTTAAAAAAATTTAAATTGTCACTGAAACTTCCCCACAGAATAATAGTTTTGCTAAGGAAGTCTACAACATATTTAAGCAAACAACAATATTGGTTACATACACACTCTTCCAAATAGGACAGAATGCTGTGTGGCCATCTAAGTCCATGCAGAAAAGGCATTTTGTGAAATTTAGCATTTCTGATTAAATATCAAAAGTGTGGGCAAACTGGTGAGAAGGGAATTCAGATTGCCATTTTTATCTATGAATGAACAATAATTGCTGTCTTACTGGGAATTATGTGAAAAGATTTGAAATCTTTATTCTGCCATCTTATCGTGAATTTTGTTGAAAAAATAATGTAATTCAAGATGATGTTTCTTACTGATTTTCTTTAATTTGCTTTGTAGACGTTAAACAGTGAGATTTTAAATAAATTAAAATTTAGTTTGTCATTGATTAATATGACCTTATTTTGGGTGGTTGCAGTTGGAAAATTTGTTAGCATTATGAAGATAACCAGTGTTCTAAGGTTATCTTTGTTTTGCTTAGACCTTTTCATTTTCTACTGATTTTTCTTTTTATTTGTGCTTGCAATTCCTCCTCCCAAAATAAAGCCTTGTTTTTTCCTTTGGGATATATCATTTACATATTCACTGAACTTAGGGTATCTTAATTTGTACTTTTTTTTCCCTTTGCTTAGGAAAACATAGAACCAGCTCATGTATCATTTGCAATCCTGAGTCCTAGTAAATCTTCACTCTCTGAGACCCTTCCAGGTATCGTGTGTTTATCTCTTGTTGGGGGGTTTGGGGTGTGCAGTTGCTCATGGACCAGGGGGTGGGGGTGAGAAGAGGACATAATCTATGCTTACTGTCTGCCTTAACCCCTTGAGACAGGCTCTTACTGAATCTGAAGCTAGACTAGTGGCCAGCAAGCCCCAGTAATCCTGTCTCTATGCCCTTGTAGCATAAGATTATAGCCGTGCACACTGCTTTGCTTGGCTTCCACTTTGCTTTTTGAGACAGGATTTGTCATTAGAATGGAACTTTTTCATTAGGTTTATGTGATTGTCTGGCAAACTCTAGGAATCTACTTATCTTTGCCTTCTATTGT